CCTACTTTGCAAGAAAAACCAGGTCAAGCCCCCCCGGCCCTTCGGCCCGACACCGACGCAGCATGATGGGATACGGATCCCAACCCTCCCATCGGCCTAACGTACAAAGACCGAGGAGCCGTATCACGGTCGCCCTCTCATGAAAACGAGAAAAGTACGCCGCCACCTCGCCGTCAACCCAATCGTACCTGGGGATCTCACATGGAGGATACTTCTGCCTATAATCCCCAGGGCTCATCTCGACGTCAGGCAATTCCGACCCGGATGAAGAACTTCCCGACTCCCCACTCCGGTTGGGCTCCGACCCACTAGGACCCCCGAGCACTTCCACTTCGGCATTAAAAGCCAGCATCTCGGCCTCGGCATCTCGCGCCGATACATTACCACTAGTCGACGACCCCGAGGACAATGTCACACCTTCGGTGGCCATTATCGCAATAAAAACAAAATTTTTCACCGAAAACACAAAAACTCACCTTTAGGGGTATTCGGCTCATAAGAAAGAATTTCGGGGCAGATTTAACTACAGAAAAGGTGTGAAGAACGGTGCCACACCCCCACACTTTATATAGGCAACCCAAGGCAATCCAAGAGTCTCGTAATTAATGCCCTCGAATGCGAAAAGATGTAACCCCAGGGCGCGAAACCCAAAGGCGGCCACAGCATGCAACGGTCACTATCAACACAACACATTTCCCAAAAAGTGCGTCTCCAACTAAAAAACCCTAAAAAACCCCGAACCGTCTCAACACCTACAAACCCCTTCGTCCTTCATCGTCGGGCTTGGGGGGTAGTGTACTAGTATACACCCTCTCGGTCAGAATATAGGCCGAATAGGCCGCTCGAACCGACAAAGCACACATCATGACACCCCTTCGGTTTGGGACTTGGCCGAATACACCAAAGGAGTAGCCCAAGGCTCACCTCGACAAGTGAAGATGAATAAACACCCACTCAGCTTTGGGCAAGGACGAACACCCATTCGGCTCTAGGCTGGGCCGAGCACCCATTCGGCTCTAGGCTGGGCCGAGCACCCATTCGGCTCTAGGCTAGGCCGAATATCTTTTCAGCTACAATCATGACCCAATATCCACCCAACCCCAAAGAGGAACTAGCTACAGGAAGATTGAATAAGACTTCCAAAATACCCATCGGCTTCGAGCTCGACCGAATAACCCTTCGACTTCAAGCTTGACCGAAGGAAGGAACAACCAAGTACCTCGGTCGTAGGCCCAGCCGAAGACCTCTTCGACTTTGGTTTTGGCCGAATACCTCTTCGGCCTCGGTTTTGGCCGAATACCCTTTCGGCTTTGGTTTTGGTCGAATACCCCTTAGGCCTTGAACCTGGTCGAGGACACTTCAGAAGGACAGTTCATGTTATTAGCAAGGTAGATTAAGGTACCCAATAAGCAACGTTTGTTAGTTCTAATCAACAGAGATTAACGTTAATTAAGATCATTACCCATCTCCCAACACAGAAGGCCCACCAGGCCCAAACATGTCACTATAAATACACAGGTGATGGGACATAAATGAGGTACGCTATTATCCAATAAAAAAGCACTTATTGCTCTATACCGAATACTTACTTGATCGTTGGAGTGCCTTTGCAGGTACCCTCCCCACCCCTCGGAGACGGTATTCGGTCGGCACCGAAGACTTAGAAGACCAAGAAAGAGAAAGAGCGACAAGAGGAACAAGAAGAGTGTTTCTACGCAGAAACACATACCTTTGTGAAGCAACCTCTAATCATATTAACTGTATTAAGGTCCACTTTTAATGGCTTCCCTATTGTTGATATTATGGTCAACAATACACTTTCATCATAATACATCATATTCAAGTTTGGAAAATTGATCCATACAAGCATTTTATCAATAGTATCCTCCGTTACGAAAAATCCGGTGATCAGGGCCCAACCTTAAGATAATGATAAAAAAAATTATCCATGATCCCTATTGATCGCCTTATATTTATCTTCTTCTAGGTTAAAGCTCACCAGAAAATAGCCATTGTTCATGTCCATGATTTCAAACCCGCCAACAAGTTTCCATAAGCCTTTTAATTTTTCACGTAACATAAAAAACCCCAGGTGGTTGCTTAGAAGTTTCACCACTTAACACTCTTATTGACACAACTATTTTAAAGTGACATCTTTGATCGTAAACTTCAGGAGTAGTCTATACCTTCTTTCCATTTGGTGCTCATCTCCTTTCCTTTAAGAGGTTTCAAACACTTTTCTTTTTGTGTTATTTTACCCATCACTTTGCCCTTAAACATTGTCGTGTGTTCAAAACCTACTCTTGGCCCATCTGGTGGTTTAGGAGGTGGTTCTCTGCATATGCCATGTAGAGAAATTTTCACCTGAATGCTAGCCAGTGTTTCACTTCAATATAAACTTCTCCTTTATTCATTTTTTTATTTATTATTTAAATTTTTATTTTTTTAAAATAAATTATCAATTATTAAAAATAATCTTATATCACAATATAAATTATTTATATGAAATATAAATATAATATCAATATTTAAAAATATCTTTATATACAAATTTAAAATATAATTTATATATTTATTATAGTATTTATTTGTACATATACTATTTTTATTTATAAAATTTAGTTATAC